GGCATGGTATATTGGTGTGAACGGCAAATGAGTTGTTTTCTTTGTTAAGATAGTCATTTAATATCTGTTCATAACTACTTTTTTAACACATCTCAACAACAGCATCTCGTTGACGTGAGGTTTGGGAGCCTGTGGGATTTGCAGATTGCATTGCTTCCCACGCGATTACCGTATTGGCTGCTTAGCAACTACAACCATATGAATGGTACGTTGACACTAAGTGATGGGAGTACGTTGGTGGTAACTGAAGATGATGTAGCAGTTGTTTTAGGCTTTCATCCAGGAACAATTGAGATTGAAAGGAAGAAGAGGGTTGGGACTTTTGATCTCTATACAAAATGGATAGAGTTATTTCAAAGGGGTGGGCTAAAAATCACTTATGGTGATTTAATCAACGCAATGAACCAGTGCACGGGCGATGGGAACTAGTTCAAACGCCATTTTGTGGTGTTGGTCTCTTCAATGTTCATAGACAACCCACAAAATGGATATGTTGGGCACAGTTGCTATATTATTTGAACGATGTGTCCTAGATTCGTCGTTTGAATGGGATCTCTTTTGTTCTCCGCACAATAATGGATACATCAGTGGAGTGGTTGCAGTCACAAACTGAATATTTTCCTGGTCCTCTTTTGTTTTTTACGATAAATTTTAATACATACTAAATTTATGAAAAAATTAATAGTTAGCAGATTATATTACTAACATTTTTCATTTGTATTCAGATCTTTTATGTTGACCGTGTTGCCCTATTCAGCCAAATTGTTCCTAGGACTTTTCCATCATTTATAGGGTGGACAGGTAATCATCTTAAGGGTCGAGAAAAGAGAGAGCATGAGGTTGGTGGTTTTGGTCAGGGCCGAATTGATGCTCGTTAAGAACCCACTGCATCTAAGTTGGCCCTAGCAGCTGGCGATGTTCAAGCACCATCCCCAACAGATCCTGAGGTTCAACCATAGTGTCCAGCATCTCCTCAGGTTCGACCTCAGTGTCCAGTAGCTTCTCAAGTCCAACTTGGGTCAGTTGATGAGTTACAGGTGTGCATTTCACTCTTTGAAGTTTCATTTAATGCACCTTAGGTTTTTTTTGGAAAACACGCACCTTAAACTCTAAAACCACTCACCTAAGGTTTGGCATTGGTATTTCTAAACTTTTGTCTACATGGCAATTTAGATTTATTTTAACGCACCTTAAGGGTTATAACAACGCACCTTAAGCTTTAAAACAACGCGCCTTAAGTTTACAGTGGTAATTCTCAATTTTTTCTAGTAAGGTTGTTTAGATTTATTTTAATTCACATTAAGATTTTTAAAAATGCACCTTAGGCTTTAAACTAATGCACCTTAAGGCATGGCAGTAATAATTTTCAACTTGCATCTGCAAGGCAATTTAGGTTTTTTTTAATGCACATTAAGGTTTATAACAACGCACCTTAAGCTTTAAAACAACGCACCTTAAGCCTTAAATTCACATACCTAAGGCTTGATAGTGGTAATTCTCAACTTTTTCATGTAAGTTAGTTTAGATTGATTTTAATGCACCTTAAGCTTTAAACTCACGCACCTAAGCCTTACCATTAGTGATTCCCAACTTTTTTTCTTTTCCCACAGTCAAATATAGTTTTAATTTTATTGAAAAACATGCATACATTTCTCTATTCACAGAGAAGTTGCAATTGTTTAATTTGGTGGAAGCATGATAGGGATCATAGAATTGGCCTAAAAAGCACCAACAATGATTGCAGGCAACGAGAATGTGAAGGTGTTGGTTCCAAAAGAGGTAAGGTGAAAGTCTAGAGACGGGGGGGGGGGGGGGGGGGGGGGAGAATAGACTTTCAAGCTTTTTTTGCACAGCACAACAATTGCTAAGGCAACAGAGAAACCAAAACTCTTAACTAGATTGTTAGAGTCCGGTGCACAGCGGAAATAATAAACGATACGGTGCGTGTGTATATTGTGTCAAAATTATTCTCGTGAAAAGCAAGCAAGAGCAGTAAGTAAAGAAAGCGGTAAAGAACACAAGGAAATTTATAGTGGTTCGGAGGTGGTGTAATCATCCTACTCCACTTGCTCTTATCTCCAAAAGCAATTCACTATATCCACCACTTCTTAGTTCCAAGATACAATGAATTCGGTGATCTAGTGCTTTGATCACCAAGTCCACACTAATCACGCCCAGTGCCACCAACACTGCTGCTTCGGGTTTCACGTCGCCGCGTTACTTTCCCAAGATTTCACGACTCCGCGTTACTTTCCCCCCGTCTTCTACGCTCCGGTAGAAACGCTCCTTCCGTGATCTAGTGCTTTGATCACAAAGCCCGCACTAATCACGTCCAATGTCTCCGACACTTCTGCTTCGGATCTCACAACTCCGTGTGACAATCCAGGATTTCACAACTCCGTGCTACTTTCCTCCTTTCTCTTGTTTTGCTCCAAAACAAGTTTGTCTTGCTTCCAACTTTAGACTTCTATAGATGATCTTCAATGATGCTCTTAGTCTCTTGTAGTTGATGAAGATTCTAACACTCTTGGATATTTCTTTTGTAAGCTCTGTATCACTCTGAGTGTTTATCTCACTAAGAATATATCAATTTAAGCTCTTGAGATTGAAAGCTATTTTGATTTTCGTATGCTCTTTTTAGCTTTGTTCTTTGCTCTTGTGTGTTCTTGCTTCTCTTTTGTCCACCCCTACTTTCCATTGCTTCAATCTTCATCTTTTTATAGCTAGTAATGAGAATCTGTCCGTTGGAAAGAAACGTTCTCATTTTTGAATTTCTTCTAGCTGTATAGCCTTTTCAGAGGATAAGATAACGTTGCAGATATGTCAGAGATTCTCTGCAAGTTGAGCTTGAGGTTCTCTAAAAAATGGCATCCCAAAAACTTCATCTGATGTAGATCACGCCTCTTGGGATTTCTATCTTCAAAAATATAATCTCCAATTTAATTCCTTACTAGTTTGGACTAGTATTTTTGCTTCTGCAACTTCTCATAATTGACTTGGGAAATCTCTTCCCATGTGAACTTCATCCCTTACTATATTTGGAAGTGAAATCTCTTCCCTTCTAGATTTGCCAATTGAAATCTCATCTCTTACTTGATTTGGACTTGCAACTTCATCCCTTGCTATTTATATCTCAAATTAAATTGAAGCCCTTTGCAAATCTCATCCCATCAAATTGAAACTTCTGCCCAAGGGTGAGATACGTGAACTTCACCCCTTTAATTTGAATTGCATCCCAATTTGAGATTGTCTTCAATTTGGAAATCTCATCCCATAACCTGTGACCTTGCGTATAATATTTCAAGCTTCTACCAACTCGTCCGTACAACTTTTTAGTTATCATCTCGTTTCACTTGGTGTACTCCTTTCTTGCTATAGATGCTTGATCTTCAAGATAGCTTCATGCAAACTTCAAGTCACGTTCTTTCTTCTTCGGGATTTCTTGAGGGATTTCTTCATTGATTTCTTGAGAGATTTATTCTTAGGATGAAAGTCTTCATATCTTGTGTACACATCTTCATACGCATACATCTTCCTCTTCTGTTTGTCATTTTCACTAGAGCAAATTACACTTTTGGTCCTGTGACTATAGAGGGTGTGTTAATTTGGGTACGTGACTTTTAAAACTAACAATTTAGTCCTTTAACTATCATTTTTTTAGCAGATTTGGTCCTCCCGACCAAATTGCCAGTGGAATTTGGCCGGAAAGACATTCGACTTTTTAAATCAAATATTGGTGGGGGTAATTCGGTCTTTTTAATTGTTGAACCGAATTACCCCCACCAATATTTGATTTAAAAAGTCGAACGTCTTTCAGACCAAATTTCACCGGCAATTTGGCCGGGAGGACCAAATCTGTTAAAAAAATGATAATTAAAGGACTAAATTGTTAGTTTTAAAAGTCACGTACCCAAATTAACACACCCCCTATAGTCACAGGACCAAAAGTGTAATTTGCTCTTTTCACTAGGCAAATTCTTAATTTTAGGCTTTATATCTTCTTCATCCATTTTCCTCAACTAATGAATTTATTTTTCACTTTCTTGGTCTATGACTCGACTAGTCTAACCAAAATAAAATTGGGGTTCTACGATTTACAATTTGGCATATCAAAATCTATTACAATTTATTCCTAACAGAAGGCCTTGCAGTCTTTGGCTCAAAAGATGTTTGGTATTGGCCAAGAGGTGCTGTAACCATCTCTTTCACAAAAAGAGGTCGAAGCAATTAGCAGCCAAGACGCATTTTGAGCAAATCTTGAGAATCTTGCTGCCATTGACCTTGCTATACAAAGGAGGATAGAGTATAGCAAGAAGTTCTCTAATATGCTAAGTTTCAGCCTTGGATTGACTCCCACTCCACCAGAGGCTAGATATGGTTCTTGGGATGACATCACAAATATTGCTGCTCATTACAATCCTCACGATGATGATCAACAAGTTGTTGAATAGGCTCATCAAGAGGTTAATCAACAGGCTGCTGCCATGAAGAATGAAAACGGGAAAGTTGTTGTTGAAGAAGTTGAAGTGCCCATTGTTGATCGAGTTGGATGTAGTAGTAAGGTGAATAATGTTGTTGGTGGCAGCTATTGATAAATGGAGAGTGGCGAAAAAGAAGGAGAAAAAAAAAAACTTTCGTTGGAGGTTCTAGCTTTGATACCATGTAAGGCTAAGGAGAAACTGTACATTGTATTTCTTAAAGAAAGATTAACGGAGTATAAATAGTATACAAGAAGGAAGTTAGCATACTCCGCTCTTTTCTACAACTAAGCTAGTCTAAAGAAATATTATTAGAACTGATAAATAATCAAAAACAATATATATAGGCTTAACATACTCCGCCCTTTTTTTTAGATTGTCTTACCGTTGATTTAATGCAATAATCTACATTTTGGTCTTAAAAAATTTTGACTTTTTACCTTTCGTTTTTGTTAAAAGAAAGAAATAGGAATAAGAGGACGTGGAGTGATAGGGTCCGCTCATATTTACTTGACTGAAGCGAAGCTATGAATGAATGAATATTGAAGAGTTTGAAGAAAGAGAGAAAAATGGGAATGGCTATCGCCTTGGGCTTGAAGAGTTTGTTTAGTGTATTGGGATGCGTAATCACAGCTACTGTAATCTACACCATCATCACCGATGGCCTTCCTTTCCGCATCCAACTCCTCACTCCGTATGTCTCTCTCATTCACCCCATTTTCTCTCTGCTTTTTCAATTTTAAATTCTTAATTCACACTTTAAACTGCCAAAATATAAATTCAATTCTTCTTTCATACTTACTATGATAAAAGTTTAAGTGTTGGATAGTTACCAAGTAATATATAATTCTTTTTAGTACAGTAATATATAATTTGGTTCTCTTGAGTTAATAACCATTTTGGTCCTTTAATTGTTTCCCAACTATTAATATAGTCCCTAATTTTCAATTTTAACGAATTTGATAATCGAATTGTTTAAAATTTTATCAATTAAACCCTTCTAGGAACCAAAATGATGATTTTGACATTTTAAAATTTCGTCAATTTGGTCCATAAAAGAATTTAATTAACAAAATTTTAAAAGAATTTAATTAACAAAATTTTTAACAATTCGATAATCAAATTGGTTGAAATTAAAAACTAAAGACTACATTGACAATTGGAAAACAATTGAGCTCTTAAATAACTTTTTTCTTTGAAAATTTTTTATATAGATAAAATAATAAGAAAGTTTTGCAATTCGAATGGCAAGAATGATTTTTAAAATCAATATTCTTATTTTGTTGAGTACTATTGACTCTATTACAATATAATATGGTGGTGATAGATGTATGAGCGATTTAGGCTGAGCTCTTGTTAATATTTTTAATTTTACTGTTTATTGAGATTATTACTCCAAACTACACTAAAAATAATTGAATAATAGTTAGCTTATGGCCTTATAAATCCGATCTATTTTTTCTTATATTTTCAACGTGGGACTTAACATATTCAGATATTCACATAGATGATGCATTGCACTTAGTGAATGGTTGGGAAGTAAAAGCATATATCTTACGAGTTTATGAATTTGTTACAGGTGGATGGCTGCCACGTTGATTGATTTTTATATCAATATCTTTGCCATTGGGGTATGAAAAAACTCATCTTGTGTTGCTTTTTGTGGGTTACTATGTATATGACCTCATAATTTATGGATTCTTTTTTAACTTTGGCATTTCATTGCAATTGATAGTTTGCTACCTTAACTTTGGCCAATTGAATGATTGATATGATAACTGTTAACTCATATTTTGCATCCATATCAGGCTTGGGTTATCTACAAGGAATCAAACTGGATTAGTGCTGTTCTTTGGGTAGTTTTGCTAATATGCTTGGGAAGGTATGGTTTCATTGGTTTGTGAATTACAATACTCCCAATGATAACAAAATATCAGTTTTCTGGTTCTCAATCAGCTAGTATTACTAGCTATATGCCTCAAGACTTAACTTTGTTGTATGTTAACTCAATTTGGATATTACACTTCTCCCAAAAGTTGAATCTCCAACCCCAAGAGCCCCACATCTGGCCCGACAGAGCATATGAGAGGATTACACTTTTCCCAAAGGTTGAATCCCAACCCCAATGGCTCCCCACACTTTTGCCCGACAGAGCATGTGAGAGGGTGTAATCATAGTAACTTAGTTGCCCCTCACATGCTCACATTTTTGCCTGACAGAGCATGTGAGAGGGTGTGTAATCATAGATTCATAGTAACTCAGTGGTTTAGTAGACATGGCCAAATGCTGATGCGTACAAGGGATCTGTCCACTTTGGGCATAATCCCTACACTGCTGCTGTCGAGTTTCGAACCTTGGTTTCTTTTCCCAAATATTACCTATTGAACTAGTGAGCTAAGCTAAACCCGTGCGGGCAACTTTTAAGAATTCCTCTTTAACACATTTAATGTTTTAGATTTATGCATGCTCATTTATAAATTGTATGACCTTTTTATTCTACTCTTGACAGCATTACCACATGCGGCTATATTGTCTTGCAGTTCTTTAAACTCTCATCTAAAGAATCTATGCAGGATCCAGTTTTCTATGTTTTGTTACGTCAAGGGAAAATGTGAGTAAAAATCATTGGTTGTGGTATAATAATTTCCCTTTTCTTTTGCTAATTAAAAGAACAGAAAAAATGCATTTGTGCTTATGCAAACAATGGTGGTTTCCTCCATCTGTGGTATAATTATTTAACTTTTATTTACTTTCAGCATTTTCTTCCATTGTATATTACTGATTTGGTATTCTTCATATAGGAATAAACCAGAAAGACAGATAAAGTTGTGTGTTGCAGTTGCAAAAGTTGTGTTCATTGCTTTGGGCTGTCTAATGCTGGGAACACTGATTTACACAATTGTCACAGATGGGTCCCCATTTCGCAAAGAATTATATACACCGTCAGTTTTACCTTCTATCCCTCATTCTGCATCTTGTGCTTCGCTTCTTGAACATTGTATAAGGATTTGGAAATGTAGTGTGGTCTAGGGCGGAAATTATGGTATAATGGTAGCAACACAAGTTCTAGGGTCACCATTTTTTTCATTATGGAAGGATGAGATCCTTATTTTCATTCTTCTTCTCTGGTTACAATAACTTCCCATATAAGTAGGTATGCAGATGAGCAAAACAACTTCTATTCAGCTGAGCACTTGGTCAGTTGGTCTGCCCAACAATCCCCTAGCCACCTGGTGCTGGATTTATTAGCCCTTCACCGGCCTCCGCCCATCAATTTCCCCTCTCCCCCAGCACCTGTCACCTGTCATTCTTAACTGCACAGTTTACTACTTGTGACTTGGCTCTGATACGAGGTGTTAGGATCAAGCGCTTACCACTAGGCCAAAAGCTATCGCTCGTAGCGAAAGCGCAACTTTATTTCCTTATGTCGCCACATTTTTATAGAGACAAGGTGTTAGATTTGGCCCCTTCAGACCTCTACCTAACAATTTCTTACCTTTAGTCATCTGATGCTGGACTTGGCCCTTCACTGGCCTCTGCCCAACACTAACTAAGTCCTATCTTCTCAAAAAGATAGGCTTATTACTTATTAAGTGAGGTGGCAAGCATACATTAATCATCCTTGATATTTACCTTTGCATTTCTGATATGAAGGCATGCGCCATTGTTTAATGTCTATTAACATATCATATCTGTGCAGGTGGCTGTCAGCAACATTAATTGATTTCTACATCAATGTTGTCGCTCTCTCGGTATGTATAAAGCTTTAAGTACTCTCATTGTTAAGGTAGATAAATGCCTCAGTTTTACCTGAAAACAAAACATGAATATAATACCAAACTTAGGTATTAGCATGATCATTTTTACTATTGTTACCATTTTACTGCTTTTTCAGATCTGATACATAGTTTCTTTTATCTTAGAGTCCTAAACATAGTGTCTCCATGTTCTGCAGTACTGTATGAATGGCTATCATTCTGGCATTGTACTCTTCTAGCTCTTACAAGTTACAAGCGGCCACCTAAGTGCCTAACTTGACTGAGTTGGTGGTAAACTCAACTCAGTTAACTCGTTCAATTCGGTTGAGTTAGCTGAGTCAACTCGACCGACTCAGTCTAATTTTTTTCATTATATATATATATATATATATATATATATATATATATATATATATATATATAATATGACATACACCCACACATGTGCACTGTTTTTTTTTTTTAGTTAACCGTCTAGGCACTAGACGCTACTCTACTGCTCGACTAGTACGCAACCATGGTTACAAGTTAATACAATGCTTGCTAAGGGGAATATTGCAATTGTTGGTTTAATTTTTAAATTTTAGTTAGTGAGTTGCCTCTGTACCAGGTCTGGGTTGCATACAAAGAGACCAGTTGGATAAGGGCTTCTTGTTGGATACTTTTACTAATATGTTTGGGCAGGTATTATTCCCCTTGTTCTAGTATGTTATTCTCTATTTATTACTCCCGACTTCTGTCTCATTTTATGTGTCTAATTCGGTTATTAAGGTTTGACCGAGTTATTTACAATTCAAAATTTCGTAATTTTAAGTGCAGTATGAGTATATAGAATTTATTTACTTAAGAAATTACATTATAAGTACTATTAAACACAAAAAATGCAATTTATATCATGAACTAGGGTCAACATAGCATTATGGACCCTGGATCGAAACAACGAGCTACAGAATTCATACTCATAAGGCATAGAAGTTTTATAACATATGACACAAAAAATCACAACACAAGACATATACACATGTTATATATTTACTTATTTTTCATATTTGATTTAGGTACATAATTTATGCTCATAGGCATAGAATTTCACAATACAAGACACAAAAATTCATAACATGGCACAATTGCTAATTTGTTTTAGGTACAGAATTTACTCTTAAGGTTTAAAATTTTATAACACAAGACACAAAAACTCACAACATAAGACACATACACATAACACATGTACTAGGGTCTACAGTGCCCTGTAAATCCTAGTCCATGGTATAAGGATTGCACAAAAAAAAATTAAATTTAAAAATAAGAAGAAAATATTAAAGAAAATAAGAATGAATTGGTTTGACAATGAATATTGTACAAGTAAAATGAGACAGTGAGAGCATATCATACTATTGTGTTGCATGTATGATTTCAATGAAATATTTGAGCATTTGGCATCCCTCTCCCTATCCCATGTTCCAAAAATGAACTCCCGTGGTATATATTTTGTTGCGGAAGGAATTGCACTTTTTAATGCTAAAAGTAATCAAGGGTGTGTTTTGTTCAAACATAGGAATCGGAATTGAAATGAGAATCAAATACTTAGTAATTGAAATGGATTTTGGTAAAAGTATTTTGCATATATTTGGTAGTAGCGTGAATTGGAATGATTACGGATATTGATGTTTGGTTATGTATGATCTTATAATCGGAATAAAGGTTTTTTTTTAAAAATACAAAAATAACAAATCAAGTCAATTGATCTTAAGAGTGACAATGAAATGAGTAGGCAATGTAGTGAGAAAGTCGATAGAGTGAAGAAGCAACGAAATGAGGAGGGATAAAGCTAAATTAATGGGATGATATCTGATTTAAATTAGGTAATGAATTTTGTAATTATAAGAAGTAATCAAATCTTATACTTGTGTTTTCAAAAGTTGTCAACCAACCAATGTGTATTACTTTCCCTTTCAAAAAAAAAAAAAAAAAGTGTATTACTTTCATTTCCATTCCTTGCGTCTAACCCCATGAACCAAACACACCCTAAATAGTTATTTTTGTCCTTTGTTGTTTTGTATGTGCATCTATGGCCCTTTTTTTCTTATACTTGTCTTTTTTTCTTACTTTTTAGTCCTCTTACTCTTCCCATAAGAAGGGAACAAAAACACAACTTTGTTTGAAACATGAGAATCATATATGTAATATGTGCCTGCAAAATAATTACTAATTTACAACAAAAATCACTATACAACCATAATTTAAAAATTAAAATGTAATGGTTTTTTTGGGTGTGTTCCAAATACCCATTTTATTTGCTAATTTTACTTCACTGCTCCATATATGTTATATTTTGGATTTTCAACAGCGTTAGCACGTGTGCCTACATCGTCCTACAGCTATTTCAACTCTCTCCTCAAGATCCAGCCTATTATATCCTCTTCAACACTCACAACAGGCAAGTTGAGTTCTGAATCCTAAGTACAAATCCTTAGAAATCTTTTTTTGTTTGTTTGTTTGTTTGCAGTGGAGAGAAATTTATAACAAGATATATTCTTCTGTTGTCACTTGTGCTGCAAATGAAATTACACGTTTTCCTATCTTATTTTCAACACATTCTACTACTTGTTTATTAGTCATAGTATATCATGTATCATAATGCACATTGTACTATGTGTATGGAAATATGTATAGGAATATCTTACTTTTTGAAAAAATAAAAAACAATGTTGTATGGTACTCAAGCAGTAGATTGTGGGCAATTCTGCATGGTCGAAACAGCTAATGTGCAAGTTGCACCTAATGTGGTGAGCTCTTTTATGGACACCCAGCACTGATCCTTTAACTTAAGAGGCTGCTAAGTCATTGTGATTTGCTTTCCACCGTCCTCTTGGGAGGAGACTTTGGGGCTAAGAATTTTGCTTTTGTGAGTAATTTTAACAAATTACTACATGAAATTCATGGTGCAGTTAAGAGCATCCACAATAGAGGTTATTTGGGGGTTATTGTCACTCAAAAAAAACTTGAATGAAGTTATTTGGAGATGTGAGGTGGAGTTATTTCTCCTGCAAAGGGTGGCAGAATTGTGGGGCCACCATGTAAGAGATAACCTTTTACCATTTTTTTCTTTCTCCTGCTTTAGTTGTCAACTTTTCCCCCCTTTTTTTTTTTCATTTTTCATTTTTCTTTCTTCTCTTTGTTTATTCTCTTTTAATTTCTTGTAAGCTCATTAAAAATCGTGAATGATCTCATACTGATATTGATGCTCTCAATAACATATTTATTTGATTTGATAGTGACATCATCATGATTTATGTTTGTGTTTTCTACTTTATTTCTAGTAGAGGAAGGTTGAGAGTTTTGTTGTTGTTATGGTAGGGCAGAAGAAGGGTATGAAGGAACACTACAAGAAGACCACGTTTATGATTGCTAAAGAAAAGCTTTTGGTTTTGGACTGATTTGTTTTTAGAAAATGTTACCGTTAAAAATTTGTAATTAGACTACAGTTCAGCAAACACAAACATATCTTTGTCTAGAAATGTAAAATTCATAAAATGTTTTTTTTTTTCTTTTATTCAAAATGATGAAAATAGTATAATACGGAGTATTATTTACTCTCGTTCAAAAAATATTATCCTTGTTTTGATTGTACACATAGATTTAGAAAGTATATTTAATATTTAATACATTGTTTAAGTAATATATATATATATATATATATATATATATATATATATATATATATATATATATATAGAATTCAGTTCCCATGCGCTTCTACGGTTTTGCGGTTAAATATGAGCCATTGATCTTTCGTAAATCAACGTTCAGGATTAACAAAATTAAAAAAAAAAATGCAGTGGTAATTTGATAATTTTTGCATCTCGGTCAAATTTAAGGTGCGTTATTTTCCTTCTTAAGGTGCGTGATTTTGTGCTTAATATGAGTTGTTTTTGTGATGTGTGATTAAGGTGCGTTAGTTGTTGAAAACTTAAGTGTGTCGATCTAAAGTTTTACGACACTCGGGGATTTCATCTCCGTTTTATTCTTTTCATACACATCCACAAACTAAACTCCTATACACAAAAAACGTAGCATCAAAATGGCGTCGTTGCCGGAGAATGGTATACGGTAGTCTTTAAGTTTTTGTGTGAGTTAAGAATTCAAGCTTTAATACTTGGTCTAAGCTTCTTTTTTTTTTTTTGTGGCATTTTTACCTCTGATTCCTGTTGCTTTCTTATGCACGTTGTGAGCAACTACTTTTAGTTGCGAGAGACCGTTTCTTTTGTCTACTTGTAGGTTGATGCACACCCATTCCAAGGAAATTGAAGGATTAATCCCATTCAATCCGGATATCCAAAGAACTACAAGGATGAAGTCAAGAATCACCAACATTCAAGAAATAGGGAATAACATGGCATCCACAAGTGCTGTGAACCATGATGAGATTAATGAGAGGCCGACGCCAAGGTCTATACCACCCGTCCATGCCCGTGCGCAACCAAGGTTTGATGCCTTCGAGGAATCTCAAGGTCTCTGAGAGCATTTGAATGTGAATGAAAGTACGAATGATGAGACTCAAGGGCAAATGGAACAACCAATGAGGGAAGAGTATTTGGATGCCCAAGGAGAGGACCGGATGCACACCATAGCGGAGTACATGACTCCGGAGTTCTCGATGCACAACTTGATCTATATTCCACCCATCGAAGGGAACACTTTCAATATCCATCCGGCGGTTATCAACTTGGTACAAAATCATCCATTTAGTGGTTTACCCTCCGAAGATCCCCACACACACATGAGGTTTGTGAGATCATGTAGCATGTTCCGACCTAATGTAGTGTCGGAGGATGTAATAAGGCTTACCTTGTTCCCGTTCTCCATTATTGGTGAGGCGACAACATGGCTTGATTCTCAAGACAATGGACACTTCCGCTCATGGGCACAACTTCATAGAGAATTCATGAATGAATTCTTTCCCCTTACTAAGACAATGAAGGTCCGTATAGAGATGAAAGTCTATACTTGTAACACCCCAGATTTTCAGGACATTTAAAACTTATAAAATAAAGGTGAAATCTCATTAATTCAAAACGTAACATAAAGAGTACGGGGTGCTATGCCACACCTGAGCTAGAGAACTCAGGTGCACAGGCCAACTAACTAATATCCTTAATAAAGTAAATGCATAACATGGCACGCAGGCCAAAAGGGAAACTATCTACTTCTACGTTCCAAGATCTAGCGCGCTCCAGTGACTTATTCTTCTGTGCCTGAAAGCCAAATATATCTGTTCAGCGAGAGATGCTGGTAACCCACTCCAACGCGTTGAAATACAATACATATATATATATATATATATATATATATATATATATATATATATATATATATATATATATATATATATATATATATATACGAAAAGTCATTTCGAAGCATGAAGGTATATCCTAAGAGACTCTAGCTTTCAAATCAGAGGACCGACTCGACAAATAGGGGTACACACAATCTACAGTCATAACCAAGTATATACGATTCTCGACATAGGGCACAGTTGTAGATAAACACAACCAATAATCACAATTAAACATGTATAGTTTACTAGCAAGAATCCTATGGTCACGTTTCCATAACAGTCACAACATCAATCCTTCTTATCTCATCATATAGCACACTTTGTTGGCGCCACAGGACCAATCGCATGCCCATACATGAGGGTCAGCGCATATAGCTCTGACACGGCCCCGCAGCACCCTGCCCCGTCTCACAATACGGAGGGGTCAATCGCAACTGACCGATGAACCGCAGCTCTATATAATATTTATATACCTGACCAGTCTTTACCAGCCTGGTTAACAGTTGGGATGGTTCTCAACCCATTCAACTGCCCGTATAGTGGACCTTTGTCCTATATAATATTTATATACCTGACCGGTTTCTACCAGCCTGGTTAACAGTTGGGATGGTTCTCAACCCATTCAACTGCCCGTATAGTGGACCTTAGTCCTATATAATATTTATATACCTGACCGGTCTTTACCAGCCTGGTTAACAGCCGGTATGGTTCCCAGCCCATCCGACTGCCCGTATAGCCCGATTGATCTCAACCAAATCGGGGTAACATGCACACATAACACATAGCAAGTACATGCAACCCACATTAACACATTGGGAAGGGGGAGAAAACGTATAACAAAACCTATGCGTGATCCTTCACATACTAAGAATATTCCTAAGGGGTTCATACTTCTTTCACCTAGGTCAACGGGATACCAATTCATCTAGCATGCAATATATAAGACTCATACGACCTACGAACGGTACCCGAAAATCAAACTAGACATAGGCACGATAGACGGAGTCCGTTTGGACACCACGGGGGTCGGGGGAACATCAAACGGGGAAGTCGGGATTCCGAAGTGGGGTACAAACCAGCGGGTAGCCGGTGGGTGAGGGGTCACCCGCCGGCGTTTTACTATTCCGGGCAGCGGGTGCCCGGCGGGCAGTTGCCCGCCCGCCGTCTGCCCGCTGTCGGCGTTGCTCGACTAGGCCGCGAGTAGGTGGCGGGTCCCCTACCCCCCACTGACTCTTTTTCACCAAAAACGCCCCAGGAACCTTTGTGGAACCCGAAACCATGCTTAGACACTTTCAAACGCAATTGATAGCACACGTAGACAACTAATGGATCAAAATCAAGAAACATACGGCACATAACCTATCATGCTTTTCTAAACATAATCAACACCCAATCATGCGAATTCCCACCCAATATACTAAGAATAATACCATACGAATTCCACGATATAACCTATGGTTCTAATCATTTTTAAATCAACAAGAACACAATTCACCTTCCAAAATCAAGATTCGGTAGGAATATCATATAACTATCATGAACCTCATATAATCATTAAGAACATCAAGAACACCATATAATTATCAAGAACGTCATATAATCATCAAGAACACCATAATTATCAAGAACCTCTCCTTATCAAAATCACCCATGGAATCATCCCACCAATCATCAATAATAATATCACCAATAATCAATACACAATAATATGGGGAAATCCTAAGAGGGGAATCATAGCTATGAAAATAGGTTTTGTTGAGACATGGGTTACCTCTTAGCCTTAATTAATTCCTTGGCTATGAAGGGTCTTTCTTTAAGCTTTCTTGCTTTCTTGATTTCTTCTAAGGGAATTCTTGGAGCTCTTTGGGTGGTGAGAGATTATTGTGGTGGGGGTTCTAGGTGTCTTCTTATGTTCCCTATTTATATATTTAAGAGTCTTACTTAGGGCCTAATTACCATAGGTTTGCTAACTCTATTCTTTTTAGGACTAAGGATTGGGTTTAGAGATGAAGGCCCACGGACTATGGTGGGCCTTTATCCTAATTAATTTCTGTAATTTAATTCTTTCTTTTGGGTTATTGATTAAATGATTTAATTGATTTTAGGGATCGTAACACGGGGTGTTACAATACTACCGCTACAGACAACAAGTAAGAGCTTTCAATTCGATCAGAGAGTTATATCTGAGAGTGATAAATAATTTCTTCCTTATTCTTATTCAATACCCAACCCTTAAACCAGGTATATTATGTTTATCATTGTGAAATGCGCCCTTACTACTTACACTTCACACTAACAAAATCTTCAATTGAAATCAAGCTCCTCAAGGATAAAAACCCTCGGGGGTAACCGGCGCTACGACCCCGCAAGGCACTACTGTAGCACTCATTGGCCCTAGATTTATGTCTCACCTATCAGAGCTTTCATTCCAGATCAGATGAAGATTACATGTTTGTGTTATATACGCAATTATATGTTGCTGGTTCGATAAGGCTCCAAGTAGTATTCCCTCTCAAACAAGGATCAACAGAGTCTTTAGGGGAAGCGTGGCGGAGATCAAGACGTTGAAAAGGTAATGCCCCCCCCCCCACCCCCCCCCCTCCCCGCGTGTTGAGCATAATATATATATATACACACACACACACATAAATGTGCAATCCAACTATCAGCTTAGGCTTTTAGTTGAGATGGAGCACATGCTTCAATTTGGTATCAGAGTCATGTCAAAGGTCGTGCGTTCGAATCGAGCATATAATATATATACACGGGACAAGATTCTTCATCCCATGGGGTATTTGTATAATCTTCACTGGTAGATGCCGGAATGATGGGGTATTTGTATCATCGCTCTGCTCTAATACATTCTTTTGGTACAATAGAAGGGATTCTAAAGCCGAAAGGGCAAAGAGTCAGTCATGCATGACCCTTGCGTTGTATTGCAACGTGTGTGGAGGACCGCATGACACCGTGAAGTGCACTTCTCCTAATGCCTTGAGAATGTTGACGTCATAGCTTATGTGCAAGGACAAAGGGGAAACCCGTATGAGAACAATGATACTGGTAATTATGGATGGAAACAAGGGGGCTATGCTCAAGGGAGGCCCAAGCGATGCAAGGTGGTAAACCCACCTATGGATCTAATAGAGAGAATGGCCAAATCACCTACGACCCACATTATGGAGGAAGCAACAATGCTCTCTATAAACCACCTCATGCCTCCCAATAATGTAATACTAATAAGAGTAAATTTACAAATTACAAGTACTAAGTAGAAAGAGAAAGTTTTGGGTCTATTTAGTATTTACTAACAGGAAACTGTTTTCTATTTTATGTTCTCTATTTTCAGTTTTCAGTTTTTCAGTTTTGAAAACTTATTTACCAGTACTTGTTTTCTATTCTCTGTTTTCAATTTTTCAGTTTTGAAAACTTGATTACTAGTGATTATTTTCGAAATTCATTCTCCACTTACTACATTAATTATGTACTATACACACACACACACACACACACACACACACACACACACACTCATTAATTGCAATAATTTAAAATAAGTTCTTTCGTGACAAAATGTTATTACAAAATATTACAAATAAAATTGAGTACATCACCAATGATTATAATTTGCCCAGATTGCATTCACAATGTCCTCACACAGTTGTAGCATTTGATGTTGTTGAGTCATATCCCGATATATATACGGGTTGACACAATAACCACACAAACACAATAATGCTAAATACGGACTCGACATGTTAAAATTAGCGGGTTGAAATTCTTAACACAAACACGATTTGTAAACAGGTTGACACGATAGACATATTTTGTTAACAGATTTCGTGTCTGTGTCGACACGATATGATACGAAACCTGCTTAAACACGCTAAACATATTAATATATTTATAAAAAAAAAAAAAAAAAACTAAAATTTGAAGTTAAGTTATATTATATTAACATAATAAGTGTGAATGAAGGTTATACATTTCATTTATGTCAGTTTTTTCCGTTAAGTTTTTTTATACATTATGCTATAAAGGTTGTATGTACTTTATAATATTTTGGACAAATATACCCCTACCGTTATAACTTCCTTATCTTTTCCACTATTGTTACTATGTACATGCATCCACCATATATTTTCTTATCTTCTTCAATAATAATTATTTATACATTATATTATTATTCTTACAAAAAAAAGCTGAACCCCAACCCTAAGGGGCCCCCACACCCCGGCCCGACAGAGCAGTGGGAGGTTGTTACATTATATTATTATGTTTTTAGAATTTGGAGTTATTTTATACAATATAAATATCAAATGTATAAATAATAATAATAATAATAATAATAATAATAATAATAATAATAATAATAATAATAATAATAATAATGTAAACATTTTTATACATTTGATATTTATATCGTATAAATTATTATTTATAATAATTTAAATATAAAAAATCTTAATATAAAATAATAATGTTGGGCACCTAATTTTTGCGCATCGCGCATAAGAAAATACTAGTAAATAAATAAAACCTACCATTCAATCCATCAAACAAACTAAAAAAAATATTTAATTCAATTAACATATTATGTGTGTGTAAGTAAATTGAATACACATAATTTGTTACTTGCAAACACATAATATGTTAACTACATGTACCTAATATATTAATTATAGACACATAATGTAATAAATTATAATTTTTTTTTTGAAAGCCAATAATAAATTATAAATTAATTTTCTATTAAGTTATTTTATTTTATTGGAATACAAATTGTGCAAACTTATACAAATAACAAATATTTTATCATAATTTGTTTTTAATGTTGTGTATTTTAAAATATGTTATGAAATAGATTAAAGATGGAATGTTTCAATATTACTTCATATTATCTATTTGTTTTAATCATATTCATTCATTAGATATTTTTAATTGAAAAATACTTTCCATTTATATTATATAATAATGGTTCTTAGCGGGTTATAAACGGGTTTGTGTAAACAAGTTAACACGGTTATACGATTTAAATAGTTCTTAATATGTTTAAGTTCTTAATAGCTTTAACGAGTTGACCCACACGAAAGATAACGAGTCATTAATGAGTCAACCTATTAATGATCGAGAACGTCAATGATAACACTAATCCGGTTATTTTTGTGTTTGATTTCGTGTTAATAATGGCCAGGTGTACTATATACTCAAAAAAATTATTTAAAAAAGAAATCAATACCTATAAAGTTTTTTTTTTTTTTTGAAATAATAAAATGTATTACAAGTTATACTAATGAATTAATTAAAAAATATTTAGAACACAATTAATGAATATTTCCACTAGAATAAGTAAACATAATACATCAAAAAACTAGGAAAAGTTGGTTATAATTATGACACAAAATTAGGAAAAAGTTAGTTATACTTATCACAAAAATAGGCAAATGAAATTAAACTCAAGAGGAAAAAATATTTAATGACATTTTAAAAGAATTTCAAAACTAGTGTCCTATGGGTCAAAACAAAATTATCTTTGAAAATAAGGGGCTCTAGATCCAATTTTACCGCTTTAATACGTCGTCGTTTGTTTTGTCATTTTAACCTCAAATGAAACCATACTAGGTCAGAAAGGGCAAAGGAAAGTGTTTCAGCTCCGACGCAGAGAGTGATAGACGACGATCCTAAGCAGCTTTCGTTCTTTCGCAATGGCTTTCGCTTCTCGATTCCTTTCCAGATCTAGCCGTCAGGTTATTCTTCATCTTTATCCTCTTTTTCTGTTCTCGGAAACTGTGATCCATCTTTAGATTAGATGCGATTAATGTTTGAATTCTCCTATTTGACTGATTTTGTTTTTTTTTTTTTTTCTTTTCGTGTTCCTCATCGGCGTGTGTTTTTAATTAGAATTTCGATTTCTCCACTTGGATTGGCTCCGGTTCGGTTACTTGACCTTGAGGGGTTTGTGAATTGGAGTTGTGTATTTCTAACCGTGGTATTGGAATACGATTTATTAATTGGTATAATGAATTAGGTTTAGGTGTGATTGGATTTTTTTATTTGAGTGGTTTCGTTTTGATTTTGTGGGGCGAGGGTTAGAGAGTGCGAGCTCTAATGCTGCGAGCCGAGAGAATCAGAAACCAGGAAATATTGATTTGAGGATTTGATGAAAGGTGCATTTTTTTGTTTTCAAGCAAATTTTGCCCATCCATCGCAAGACTCATAATGGAATTCTTTTATTAGAAATCTTCCTCATGAGAAGCTCTTGGTTGAAAATCAAAATTTCTTTCACAATCTTGTGTTTGTGACCTTAATACTGCTACATGTTTTCGATGCTGGTATAGTGGTGGGAGATGTTTGTTTAAATTTTGGCATTTTGTTTTGTTGGGATACCTCACTAGTTGAGCTTATTTTCCCCACAAAGATGATTTTTAGCTGAAATGGGAAGGGTGTTTATGCTCACAATTTTGCTTGATTGACATTATTTGAATAAAGTATTTTTGCTAAGAAACATGGTATTTCTTTTCTTCTATACATGAGGCCTGCTGGGCTCATAAAATTTGTGTTTTTTTATAAGTGTCCTTGTGCTGTGTGTTATGTGGACAATTTGAATAAAAAAGTGTTCTTTTAAGTAATTTCATGGACAGACAGATTCTATTTGCGGAGGTTTTATCTGTTATGCACCATATCCTCAATGGTGACCAAGCTAACATTTGTTGACAATGCAATCATTTATTCATTTGGGATATGCATGACAAACATTATTACAATTTTTTGTATAAACATTACATCATTTTGCCCATTGATTGATTCTTTTGAATGTGGTGAATAAATATCTTTCTACTTCTTCAGTTATGTAGTAGCCAGATCATCACGCGGCCAGATAGTGCCATTCCAATTCGTTCCTTTGCCAAAGGAGCTGGTGCTCCAGCAGCACTTAAGGGCGACGGTAAGTTGAACTATGGAGATCATTAGTAGATTCTTTATTATTGTTGTTGTTTTTAATTTTTTATACTCCTCACTAATAGATATTGTGCTAGTTTTAAAGCCTTGCAAATTTTGATGGCTACCAATGTTGTTGATGCAGAAGGGTGTCATAGTAAAACTTTTGTTCTATAAACTAAAGCAAAGAATAATAACATTCATGCAAGTATGAAAATTATGCTTATTAATTAAAATTATTTTGAAATTGAATGGAATGGCTTCTGTTTTGGTGGTTGGTTCATATTCTTGTAGCATCTACTATATTATCTGCTCCCTTACGAAAGGATTGATGGAGTCATTGTTTCTATCTATCTCCCTTTACAAAATTCCTTTTCCAGTTGATTGTCTAGGGGACTATTTAATATGTTCTGCAATTCTTTACCAGCTGATTTACCTCCTTTAATTAAATGCTTGTCTCTTACAATTATAATTGCCATGACTAATTTTCTTGTGTCCATCTGAAGAAATGTTGAAGAATGTCTTTCTTGAGGTCAAGAAGAAATTTGAGACTGCAATTGGGGTCCTCCGAAAGGAGAAGATCACCATAGATCCTGAAGACACTGCTGCTGTGACTCAATATGCCAAAGTCATGAAGACTGTAAGGGAAAAGTAAGATCTCTAATCAATTTATGAGTCTTCATTTTTATCCTTTTGCTTTCTAATATTGGTAGTTGCTTGTAAGGTACTGTAGCTAGCAAATTGTATGGGTGATGGTACAGTTTTTATCTATGATTCTGTGCCAATAATTTGTTTTGTCGGAGCAAGTTTGATGAACATTCTGATACTAAAGTTTTCATTCTCTTTTTTTGAAGTTTTCCTGGAACTGTAAATTCTCTACCTAGTTAGGGCATTATGTTACTCTGAATGTTTTGAAAGTGCTATTGATCCCTATGATGTCAGTAATACAAGTTAAGTTACAAGCATGCTTTACTATCTCCTATGGTATTTGAGTCATTAATTTGAATGCTGTTGTTGATGAACATGATTTGTATGCTTTCAACATTCTGCATTTTGTGCAACACCATTACTTATTTGCTGTGATTCGATGTGTGATATATCTAGCCGAAGTTACTTTGTTTTTGCTATTGTACCTTAGAAGGGAGAAACCTCCTTCGTTGGTTTTAATTTTTGATAGAATCGGTCTGTCAAAGTGTGTTTTCTCCTAATTTTATATTATGTTATGTCTGTTACTGGCCATTGGATTCATTTGAATTATGTTGTCTTCCAATATCTGCAGGGCAAATCTCCAATCAGAGTCTGAAAAGATCAAAGAAGCTATTGATACACAAACAAATGAGATTCCAGATGCTCGGACTTATCTGTTGACACTGAAAGAGATAAGGATTAAGTATGCTTATTTATGTGCTTTTTGGTTAATCTCTCATGTCCCAATTATCTTGTCTCTATGGATTTTGGCTCTCAATGTTTTAGGAAAATTATTGTTTTATGGGTATTAAATGAAAAACCTAAAGTATTCGTTACTTTGAAAGTGGGCCATTGATTTCTTTTCACTTTGAAGTAATAGACAAAGTATAAATCTGCATCTTTTCCTCATTGAGTTGATACTACCTTCACATGGCCTTTGGGTTGCTTAAAGAAATAAAATGATGTTTTGTACTTTTAAGAAATACATACTTGCCAATGACCTTATGGTCTAGTGGCACGAAGTGGCTTTCCCAATTGGGAGGTCATGGGTTCAACCCCAGTGGGGGCGGTATTGACTCTTTGTGCTTCTTAGGTTGAGAAAGTAGCTGTGTGCAAATACTATCTTGTAACAGAGTCAGTAGTACTCAAAAAAAAAAAAAAAAAAGTGACATTTTTAGCTACTCACAGCTATCTTTTATTTTGTTCAGTCACTCTGTTTCTCTTTCTGCAGTCTGTAAGCCCAGTTACTCCTAGACCATGTCTCTGTGTGGATGCTAACAGCATATTTCTTTTTGGCAGGAGTGGCCTTCCTGATGAGCATGGCATTGAGGAAAAGATGATGAATGCTTTGGATAAGGTAGAGAAAGAACTCAAGAAGCCACTACTGAGGAATGACAAAAAGGGAATCGCACTCCTCACAGCAGAGTTCGATAAGATCAACCAGAAGTGAGCTTCGCTATAACCTGATAATTTCTCTTTTCTTCGAAATTGCTAAATTGCTCACTGTCCAATCAGTGAAAAAACACTAAGAAATTCATCTGATTTGTCTTCATAATAGCAATTTTAATTATTATCTTGGTTGGAAGGTAGTTGACCTTCATCTTTCTTTTTCTTGTCACCATCATCTAGAATTGGCATCAGCCGAGAAAACCTGCCCAAGTATGAAGAACAATTGGAAATGAAGGTTGCTAAAGCTCAATTAGAAGAATTGAAAAAGGATGCCCTTGAGGCAATGGAAACTCAGAAGAAGAGGTATTTGATAAGCCCATGGCTGTCATCTTCATCTTCCACACCCCCCCCCCCCCCCCCCCCCCCCCTCTCTCTCTCTCTTTTTTGGTTACAATCAACTGAGATTCATTTCTTTAGTCTTTCTCCATTAAATTTCCATGAGAACACCTTTGCTTTCTTTTATATTACAAAAATAAATAAAAAAATTCTTAAGCATTTTCTTATTTGCAGGGAGGAGTTCAATGATGAGGAAATGCCTGAAGTGAAGTCTTTGGACATTAGAAACTTTCTCTAAGAACATTTGGTGGAAGACTTTTTCTTTGTGCTTTTCTTTCACCTTGGCATAATGAGTTCACAAGTGACCTCTGCTACATTTGAAACAATACCATCCTGCTGATATGTTTTCAGGCGCTGGATTTTTTTTTATTTTTTTAAAATAAAAGTAATGACCAGGGAATTAAATGCTATATGTGTTTTAGTCCAGAGAAGAGAATATGCTTATATGCTGCCTGCATTTGGTCAGTGGTTTTGTAATTGAAATGCAATTTAACCTTTTGATGCTACGAAATTTCAATCAATTATGGTGTGTCAGATAGGGAAACTTGTCATTCAGAATTCTGTTTTGTGTACATGATGTGAATGCTGGGATTGTTAACAGCACAAGATATCTGGTTTCATTTGGGCTCTTCCAATTTGCCCTTTTGTTTGTTGTATGGTATCAGAATGCAGGTGGTCAAAAGTGGATTAACTAATTCTCCATTTAAATGCGACAGATGATATGCTAAAATGTAACGGACTAATAACTATTTTGTAGATTTTATGCTTCCTGCTCTCGAGTTGTTTTTTCACCATAGAATTTAGACTAGACCAGAAAAGCATATGCATTTCTATATACAGTGCAAGTTTTGTTAAATAAAAAAAATGATTTGCATACTGACTTGTGTAGGGATGACTACGGTTCAAATCATAGCAATTAAATTAAAACTAGAACCAGACACTGTAGCAACCAAATTGAAACCAGAACAATAGGGGCAGTTTTGGTTTATTATATTCCAGATCCGTGAACCGGCAGTTTGGAATTATCGGTTATATTTACACTATTCATGAACTGACATCATTTTAATCAGATGAAATTAGTTTTGCAAAATTGTACACATGATAATTTACATTTTCTCCAACCACCTCACAAGTTAGGTTTGGAGGTAAACATTTCACCTATGGTGACCAAGTTCTGATTGTCTTTGCTCTTGCTTCATCAGTTCCTTCTAAATTTCATTTTGTTTCATTGGTAATATAACAGAATATGGAATGATAAGAAATGTTGATGTTTGCAATAAGATAAAAGTAATGCTTACTTCTTCTAACTTATTTAATGGCATTCTTGGTAGGCTTCCATACAGGTAAAACAAAGCTCTGATGAGTGATGAGTAGAGCATTATTTTGAAATTCATTGGCTATTTAAGACTTAAGAGTTAGTTCTTCTCTTACTGACCAATTGCCACATTCAACTTCTCAATTAGGGTTGGCATTTCCTAAACACTGCACAATATTTGGATTATAGAGCTTTGGGGGAAAATCTTTCATAAAAGCAAATATAGGCACTCACGTGAAATCAGGGTGGATATCCTCATCTACCTTGTGATCCTTGATTGGGTTCTCAAGTGCAATGTTGTTCCATCTATCTTTACCACTGGTAAGCCATCCCCCACTTTCAAGCTCCAAGTTATCATCATCTGCATCTGCTGTTATGTATTCACTCCACTTTGACATCCACTTTGCTGTTGTTAGCAGACTCCCCTCTGTAGGTTCTTTGCTTACGAGCTTCTTGTCATTTGCTTTAGCATCCCTGTTTCTAGACCAAGATGGAACATCTTGAGATGCTACTGTGAAATCTTCCCTGTCAGGACCCTCCTTTGCCATCATCCCAATATCTGCAGAGTTAACATTGATTAAATTTTGCCCGGGAAAAGGACCAAATAGACCCTTGGACTTTACTCGAAAGTACAATTAGACCACTGAACTTAAAAAGTGTAATTAAACACTTGAACTTGTCATTTTGGTCCATCTAAACCCAATAACCGGTTATTCACCTGAATAACTGGTCATTAGGGTCCCAGTGACAATTCCGATGATAATTTCGGTGACTAAAAAATTCCGGCTACCGTAGCCGATCGTCTTCTCCAATGGAGAAGGCGACTGGTCTGGTCGTCTTCTCTAGTGAACCGGACTTATTTGACTTATTTTGACAAATTCGAGTGTTTAATTGCACTTTTGAGTAAAGTTTAAGAGTCTATTTGAGCCTTTTCCCAATTTTGCTCCTTGACATAAACCATTAAACCAGATGCTTTTCTTGTCAGTTAGTACTACCTTTGCCCTGGAATGTGCTTTGTTTTCTTGTATCCCTTTTCGTAAAAGTTGGCCGGAAACGCTTCTTACAGTCAGATTCAGACCCTGCAGAATAATTGCTGAGTTTTGGCCTTTTGAAAACTGCCTTGGGAAGCTCTGTCACAATCCTAGTCTCCAATCCATCCCCTGTACATTTGACAGTTTCATATAACTGCCTTGTATGAAATATCAATATACAATATGCACATCTTCATTAATATCTTACGTTTTTGGTACTCAAATTTAGGCAAGAGTATAATATGCACATCTTCATTTTCCTTGTATTTAATATCAATATTATTATCAAATAGAACTCATGAGAATAATCAAACTTATGGAAATCAAATCAGGCCATATAAAATTCATAAATTTCTAGTCTACAACTTTTCATATACTAATCACTAAATTTATCCTTTTTTAAATTTGTTATCAAATGCATACAAATCAAGTCGAATCAAACTCATGAATTTCTACTCGATTTATGTTGATCACTGGCTAGTTCACTTGATTATCAAAGTCTTCTTATTATATGAGAGACAGAGAGATGACCTGTTGATTGTTCATCTTCTTTTTCAACCGATTCATCCTCAAAATCGAGGTACTCGGTCCAATCGGTTCTCTTGCTGGGGAACCGGTCTTCTTCTGCAGGGCCTTCTAGGGTTTGAGGCTCTTCGTGTTGAGCGAGATCGGAGAATTGGCGAGACATGTTGAAATTCTGGACGAAGATTCGAACATCCTTGGCCATGAAGCCTTGAGCGAAGACTTGGCGTACGGACTGCTTCTGGTTGCACACCACGCAGATCCACTTGTTGCTGCTCTTCTTCCGCTGCTTCACCTGCATGGTGGAGCATTGGCAGCACTGAACGGCGATGAAAACCGCTTGCATTGGTGCCATCTCAGAGTGTTCAGTGTGAGAGAGAGAGAGAGAGAGAGAGAGAGAGAGAGATTGAGGGTTGGTTTCAGCTTTCACGCCTTCACTGTTGACGAATAAATGGCGGGAAATTAATATTTTAAATTTTGTTGCAGCGGGTGCCATGGGAGATGTTTTTCAAATGGAAAGAATACTACTCTATAAAATACTACGGAGTATATAAGTATATAGGCTCCGTTTGACAGAGCTTATAATTTATTTTAAGCTATAAGTTGTTGGGTAATGTTTTCAAAATAAACTCCTAGTTTACTAATTTTTTTTCATCTTTATTTATTATTTTTTTAAAATGACATAATTTACTCTTCCCAATCAAAACACTTTTCTCTTCTCCTTTATCCGCAACTTTCACTGCAAATATTATTATTATTATTATTATTATTATTATTATTATTATTATTACTTGCAACAATATTGCTGCTTCATTATGAGATGCTAGATCATGATTATGCTAATAGTTTTATTTTAAAATGTTAATTTTTTTTAAAGATAAAATGTTAAATTTTAATATGTAAACAAACTAATTTAAATTTTATAAAGATGTCATTTTTAGTCTTTTTTTTTTTACATTTATCATCTTATCAAAAAATTAATTTTACCAAACACTTCCAATCATAACAGCTAGCTTAACAGCTCTTCAGTTTTCAGTTCCGAGCTTATAGTTTTTCAGCTTTCAACTTTCAACTTTCAGCTCCTAGCTTATAACTTTTCAAATAGGTTTGCCAAACAAAGCCGTAATCTAAATTAAAGAAAATGAGAAAATGATAAGTGGATTCTTAAGGAATTAAACATTTATTACTTGTTTTAATGTTATTGGAGAAAATGATAAAAATTATGATCCATTGTTTTTAGATGAATCAAAGTGTGTAATGTAAACAATGAGTAAAAAATGAGAGTATATATATAATATTATGTCCCTAAATATTATCTTATGTAATACACTGTGTGTAGGGAGAGAGATGAGGAAGAGTACGCAGGAAGAAGAAAAGAATTGTAATATATTTTCCATATGTGACAATGATAAACAAGTAAAGATAGATATATATATCAGAGAGGATAACGGTAAAATAACGAATAAAGAAAATCTACCTAATATGTAACCTATGCATGTATATGGAATGAGAGATTAATAGAATATATTTTTTATATTTAATCTTTATACTCCCCCTCAAACTGATTGGTGATGCATGAGCTTGGATGTGATGGCTTCAAATGATTGTGGAAGTAGACCTTTGGTGGATATGTCAGCCAATTGTTGCACGGAAGCAACGTAGATGGTGCGAAGTTGGTCATCATTAATCTTTTCACTAACAAAGTGGAAATCAATCTCAACATGTTTAGTTTGTTCGTGAAAAACAGGGTTATTGGCGATGTGGAGCGATGCTTGGTTGTTACAATGGAGTTGCGTCGGGTGGGTAGGAATGTCTAATTCAGAGAGTAATAGTTGAAGCCATGTGATTTCACTAGTAGCGTTAGCCATTGCATAGTATTCGGTTTCAGCTGAGGACCTTGAGGCAGTAGATTGCTTTTTTGTTTTCCATGAAATTAGACTTGTACCAAGAAAGGCACAATAACAAGTGGTTGATTGGTGCGTGGTTGAGCATGAGGCCCAATCAATATCACAGTAAGCATACAAGCGCAAAAAGTACAGTTACGATTGTGTAGCATTACCACTGTCCGATGAGTTTTTGATATATCGAACAATGTGTAGTGCTGCTTGCAAGTGTAGTTCACGTGGAGCAGACATAAATTGTGAGAGAAGATTGATTGCATAAGTGATATCCGGTCTAAGAGAATATCACCGTCCCCTTGTGTGTTTCTCATTGTTTCAATTCTCTTTTCTAAACACGCCCTCCATCCATTTACATTTCTAATTTTAAAAAGCCTAACAACAAATAATTCCCAACCTATTTAGCTGAGGTAGACCTACAGTGAGGGCAGATGCTCCCTTCCCCCCTCCCCACCTTATATATATATATATATATATATATATATATATATATATATATATATATATATATATATATATATATATATATTACATTGTTAGTATAAGTATTAAAAAACATATTATGTGAACAAGAGATTTGTTAGACAAGGTGGTAAGAAACACGTTTTGGTCTAAAATTGGCTTGGGTTCAAGTCCTTACATGAACAGTGACAATTTGCTTCAACATCGTTAGCTTTTGGCATACATTTATTCCAACAATATTTATGGGAAGTCCTGTGACTATTAGGGTACTTAGCTTTTACCTTTAACTATATAATTATTAGTAGATTTGGTCCTGCAGGCTAATCTTAGCCGAAAAAATTAAAACTATTTTTAATTATTTAATTATGAGGGCAAATTGGTCATTTTAGAGTCTTCTTCTTCACTTCCTTCAGATATTGGGAGTTCTTCATCTTCCTTCTTGCAACAACGATCGGAAACGGAAAAGAAGAAAATGGGAGGTAGAAGTCGAAGTCAAGTCGGAATAAACATGGTGACCATATCGACGATTGCGTAGCCAACAGATCAGAGCAACCTATAAATACCACCTTTCATCTCCATCTCCGCCCAACCCAAAGCTCTCTGATCTACAAAAGCTTCTCTCCATTTACGATCTTAAATAGTTTCCTCTCGACGGTCATCAATGGCGTTTTCCAAGTTTCTGGTAATGTTTCTTGTGGCACTATTAGTCGCCTCATCCGTTGCTCAATCCCCTGCACCGAGTTTCGCCGCCGCTCCATCGCCGTATTCCGCCGCGGAGCCACCGACCCCAGTTCCCGCTCCTCTCGTTGCGACTCCATCGCCATCGCTGGACAATTGACGGTGAAATCGGATGTTTATAGCTTCGGGGTTGTCTTCTTAGAGCTTATCACGGACGCAAATGGGACCTGGACGGGTCGGAGAAGGAAGACTCCCCGAGGGAAACCGCAAGAATGCTGAACCGGGATGCAGAGCGAGAGCGAGCCGTTGCGGAGGCGAAAATGTGGGGGGAGAATTTCAGGGAGAATAGGAGACAAAATGGAGAATTGGAGAGGTCTGAGAAGGAAGATTCACCTAGGGAAACTGTAAAAATGTTGAACAGAGATTTGGACAGGGAAAGAGCAGTTGCAGAGGCTAAAATGTGGGGTGAAAATTTTCTAGAAAAGAGACCACATAACACTCATGCCGGTAATGGATAATGGATAGTGGATCCAATGGGAATGGGAATGGAATGTTGGTTTAGTGAAGGTCAAGTTTTTATCTTTATTCTTGACTATTTTACATTTTCGTTTTGGAAATACTAGAACACAAGTGCAAAGGGTGTATATTTTATCGAGGAAATAATAGCCATGACTCTAAAATACTAGAACACAAGCTCCGTTTTTTCCGATCGGCGTTGCAAGAAAGAAGACGAAGAACTCCCAATATCTGGAGGAAATGAAGAAGAAGACTTTAAAATGACCAATTTGTCCTCATAATTAAATAATAAAAATAATTTTAATTTTTCCGGTCAAAATTGGTCGGCAATTTGGCCGGCAGGACCAAATCTGCTAATAATTACATAGTTAAAGGTTTAAATTGAGAGTTTTGAAAGTCACGTACTTAAATTATCAGTACCCTAATAGTCACAGGACCAAAAGTGTAATTTGTTCATATTTATGGTTATACTTCTTAACAGGGCGTTTGGTTGGAGGGATTTTAAATTCCCTTCCCACTTAATTCCCACCTAATTCCAAAGGCCATTAAATTCCATAGTTTGGTTGGAGGGAATTGCAATTCCATGGAATTGCAATTCTCCCATTTTCATGGAATTAAAATCCCATGTCCCCCCCTGGTATTTTAATTCCTGAGAAAAAAAGATAGTGATGAGTCAACATTACCCCTTCCTTTTTTAACTTAAAATTAATGTCTAACAACAATAATGGACATTTTTGACTTTATACTACTTATTCCCTTTCAATTCCCATGTATACCAAACATTGGAATTGAAATTCCCAGTAATTCTATTCCTGTCAACCAAACACTGGAATTTAAATTCTCACTTTATTCCCAGTAATTCAACTCCCATGGAATTACAATTCCTTTCCCACATAATTCCCCCCCTCCAACCAAACGCCCTGTAAGTGTTTCATTTTTTTTTTTTTCAAATTTTATCTTTTATTTTAACTTTTTGCCGTTACTGAAAAAATTCATGGGTCCGCCACGGCTATTTAGTACCCAATTATTTGGCACAACTTTCCAAGCTTTGTGGGTCTTATCACATTCCCAATTAAAGAATTTATTCTTGTCAATTAAAAGACTAAATCAATAGTTAAATTGAACTTTTTTTTTTTTTTTGTTTCAATTCTCTTCAACTATTTTTTTTCCCGTAAAAAAATAGCTAAATTGAACATTTATTATTGAGATATTATTATATTATCTACGCTTAATAATGGTGTTCAACTAAAATTTAGTTGAGTTAGTCTTATTATCTGATGAGATAAATATATTAGTGCATTATACAAGGAGAAAAGAGGAAGAAGACTCAATTAATTGTGTTGTTAGCTCAACTACACAATTAGTCATTCCATAGCTCTTAAAATATAATCTTTTACAATGTCATATGAATTATCATACGGTATTGTAATTTAAAAAGAAAATAAATTCCTTCTTGCAAACAGTCCTATCTTTTTTCTTGTTTTTTAATAGAAAATTTATATTAAAAAAATTTAGAATTTGTTTTGCAGAGCTTATTTAAAAGCTTATAGCTTATTTTAAACTACTAATAAGTTATAACTTATGTCTGGTAATGTTTCTAAAATAAGCTCATAGCTTAAAATAAAAGCTTATTTTGAAACGCTATCTTATGTAGCGTTTCAAAATAAGCTAGTAGCTTCTTAACTTTTTTTTCCGTCTTTGTCCATCTTTTACCTTCCCAATTAAAACCCATTTCTCTTTTCTTTTATCCGCAACTTTCACCGCAACTATTATTATTACTAGTTTTTTTTTACGCGCATTGCGCGATTGGGATAATGCCCAATATTTTTTTTTTAAATAAGTACTTTAAAGTATATCAAGACAAGATTATATTAGAATTGTTCATGCATAGATAATTGAATGTTAAATTTGTGTATTTAAATAGACAATTCTAAATTTACAAATGCAAGATAATATAGTCAAGATTGATTATAATTGTCAATAAAATAATTGTATAGGTATTGTTGAAACCAAATACGGGACATAAGGGAGAGCAAATAAAAATTAGGGCATAAAATATTAAATATATACTAATATTGAAAAGCTAACTGCTGATTGCTAAACAAGGACATTGCGAGATAGTTTCTCACTTCAATTTGTTGTGTGATTTGAATACACTTTTTGTCAATAAATCCCCAACTAGTTAATATGATTGGCTTAATTATATTTTTTTATTTTTTAAAAACAATTATTATTATTATTATTATTATTATTATTATTATTATTATTATTATTATTATTATTATTATTATTATTATTATTATTATTATTATTATGTATACCCTTAGATCATTTTACATGTTAATCTAAATAACTTTTTTCAAATATGTTTTTACCAACCGTTGATATAATTCGCTGGTCAAATTCGCTAATATAATCCACTAACGCTAACCGCTAATTGCTGATTGTCAAACAAGGACATTGCGAGGTAGTTCTCACTTCAATTTGTTGTGTGATTTGAATACTCTCTTCGTCAACAAATCCCCCAAGTAGTTAATATGATTGGCTTTATTAATTATATATTTTTTTAATTTTTTTCATGGTATTAATAAAATACTTGGTAAATAAATATATAGGATTATTTTGTATTATAACTTTGATATTTAATTAAAAAATAGTGCACAAAAAAAATAGTAGACAATGTAGTGAATATAATCAATTGATGAATTTGAATGTAAAAAATTTTTACATTGGAGAAATATAAAGACAATATAACTAATAAAATTATTTCTCTTAATTAATTTATTGATAATGGATAATTTTTTTTAATAAAGACATTGTAGGGACAATGTAGCGAATATAATCAATTGATGAATTTGAATGTAAAGAATTTTTATATAGGAGAAAAATAAATACAATATAACTAATGAAATTATTTCTCTTACTTAATTTATTGATAATGAATAATTTTTTTTTTAATAAAGACATTGTAGACACATAATTCTAAATTAAAGAAATGCATTTGTATTTTTTTTTTTTTTTGTAGCTACTAAATTATTATTTAATTTAATAAGAGTAAAATAGAGTACTAATTATGCCAATTTTGGTTGGGGTGTGGTTCGAACCTAAGACCTTTCTTATTAAAATCAATGAGTAAGTTAACGGTGAACTAACAGAAATTAACGGAAAATATAATATTTAACGGAAAAGTTAACGGATAATTATATTCAAGATAAATTATGAAATCTTGAGGAAAATTTAAAATCTGATCAATCTGAGCCATTCATTTGATTAAAAAATTTGACATCTATTTTTTCTACCCATTATAGGTCTAATTCTCTTGGGCTCTTATTAGTATAGTAAATAAGAGAAAATACAAAATAGACTAAATATTGTCTTATAAATTATAACAAAATTTATTAAAAATAATAAAATAAATAATGTTCATCAACGACCAATAACAGTGGCTACTAACTGGCAATTTTTATTATGGAGGATGAAATTTGAAAAGGATCAATGCCCTAATAAGTTAGTACCAAAAATGACATTAACTATATATATATATATATATATATATATATATATATATATATATATATATATATATAGGGATCAGGTGTGGGAATAGCTTCCTATGCGGTTGTGCGGTTGAACGCACATTAAGCATTAAACTGACGCACTTTAAGTACACAACACATGCACATTAAGCACACAAACAAAGCACTTTAAGAACACAAACCACGCACCTTAAGCACATAACAAAGCACCTTAATAACACAAACCACGTACCTAAGGTTTTAAAAATGGTTCACTTTAAGTTTCACACAACTGACGCACCTTAAGCATATAAATCACGGACCTTAAGTTTTAGCAACTACTCAGGCACCTAAGTTTCAGCAACTAATCACATTAAGCACACACACTCACGCACCTTAAGCACAAAACTCACGCACCTTAACCACAAAACTCATGCACCTTAAGCACAACACTCACACACTGTAAGCACAAAACTCACGCACAAGAGTCATGCACCTTATATACAAACTCACGCAGCTTAATCACAAAAAATGGTTATGGCACAATAATACTTAGACAAAAAGGGAATGTTTTGATGAAAAAGGATTTTTTGAACTATCAACTATAAATCAAGGATAACAAATGGAATTAACTCAATGATAATAATTTAAAAGTAACTATTAATGTAATAATAAATACATAATAACATATACTCCGTATATAGTAATTAATTTATTGAGTATCAAAAATTACAAATTTCAAAAAAGATTTTGTTAGAATTGTCATGGTAAGTATGTATGTATAACGTAATTACTCCATACAACGTTATGTATATGATATATATATATATGGTAAGAAATAGGATTTTTTTAGTATAAAAACAGCACTACCAAAGCCCATTTTTCCCAACAAAATAAAATCTTTTCCCACAACCACGAAGTAAAAACTAATTATGGCTTCTTCTCATTGCATAATTTTTATTCTGTTCTTTATTCTCTTTAACTTTTGTTCCGGTAGAAATCTCTTTAATAATGCAACTTTAGCTGGATTTGCACTCGCTACTGCAACATGGTATGGTCCACCCAATGGACATGGAACTGGTAAATATATTTATTTATCACAATAATATTATATGAAATTAGCATATGTGTTGCTTTAGTATCAATGTATCATTGTGTGTATGACTACATTAATCTCTTTTAATTACGTCTTGTAGATGGTGGAGCTTGTGGATTTGGAAATGTAGGCAATCCTCCGTACAAATCCTTAATAGCAGCAGGAAATCAAGCTCTATATAAGAATGACAAAGGTTGTGGGCAATGTTATCAGGTATATAAACTAAAAGATACATGTTTTTCATGTCAATACAATAAAATAGTTTTATTTTATTTTATGTTTTTTTTATGATAATTTAATTATATAAGAAATGATGAGATTAAAATGTAAATATATTGTATGAGATCAAGTGCAATTTCTTACTAAGTTACACACCGATCGCGAAATCCTTTGTCTTGTTTTGTTTATATGTATTCAATTCAATAATTTTTTGAAAAACTAATCGTACATTTCAGGTGAAATGCACCTCAAATCCAGCATGTTCAGGAAACTCTTTGAAGATTTATATAACAGATGAATGTCCTTCATGCAACGGTGAGCCAATTTGGTTTGACTTGAGTGGAACTGCTTTTGGTGCCTTAGCAAAATCGGGTCAAGCTGATGCCTTGCGCAATGCCGGAAAGATTCAAATCTCATACCAAAGGTAATTTCAATTTTATAACATTATTACACATGGTATGTTAATGTGCATTGCTTAATTTCTAATTTGGTATAATTTGATTTTGCAGTCTGAGATGCTAGAATGTCATTGTTCAAGGATGGTACAACTTTAAATGGCAATGATTTGTCTCATATTCAAATCAATGACACAAATTCAAGTCTCAACATGTAATATTTATATTTTATCATAAAAAATTAATGCAACCAATTCTGTAATTTGTTGGTTTGAAATTTTATATGAAAATATTTTTATATAATATATATTAAGAACTTGAACTTGAAACATTACTGTAACAATACAATTACAACTAAAAAAATAATCATTTAAATTTTCAATTATTAGTTCTAGTGTCTAACTGATATTTATAAATAAAAAATAAAAACCCAAAGTTATAGATTTTTAGAAATTAATATATATATATATATATATATATATATATATATATATATATATATATATATTAACTATTAATATATCGTAATTAATACATAATTAATGGATATTTTAGTAGCCCACACTGCAAAATCAAATTATACCAAATTAGAAATTAAGCAATGCACATTAATTAACGTACCATATGGCAATGATTTGTCTCACATTCAAATCAATGACACAAATTCAAGTCTCAATGTGTAATATTTATATTTTATCATAATAAAATTAATGTAACCAATTCTGTGATTTGTTGGTTTGAAATTTTATATGAAAATATTTTTATTTAATATATATTAAGAAGTTAACTTGAAACATTACTGTAACACTACAGTTACGACTAAAAATTCATCATTTAAATTTTCAACCATTAGTTTTAAGTGTCTAATTGATATTTAAAAAAATAATAATAAAATTCAAAGTTCTAGATTTTTTGAAATTAATACATATATAGTAACTATTAATATATCGTAATTAATACATAACTAATGTATATTGTACTTAATCTACCATTGTGTGTATTACTTTTGTTATATATATAGAAGTATATTTGTTTTTTACAAAAATGGTAAAATATTAGATTAAATAATAGTGTATAGCTCCCGAACATGAGCAATAGAAATGAAAGATACCGAGAAATAATCCACACAGTCAGACTTGGACTAGGCCTCCTTAACTAACAAATTGGCGACCCTACCGTTTAACAAACAACAAATAGAGGAGTCTGCTAGGAAGAAATTTGTTGTTGATTCAATTGCTATTGCCGAAGAATTAATGCCGACCAGAAGAACTGCCACCAGAAACTTGCGCCAGACGTCGCCAAGAGCATAACTAGCCACCGTAGTTGTCATCGTCGATCTCTTATCGAACCTATATTTATAATGGTCGACTTCAATAATTTCTCTCAACTTTGCACAGTCATTGAGGAGTCATTGTAGACACATAATTCTAAATTAAAAAAATGTATATGTATTATTTTTTGTTGTAGCTACTAAATTATTACTTAATTGGAATAAGGGTCAAATAGGCCATTGAACTGCACACAATAATGCAATTAGGCCACTGAACCAAAAAAAACAACAATTAGGCCACTAAACTAAGCAATTTCATTCTTTTTTTTTTTTTTTTGAATGCTACTAGCTCTATTACATTGTAGTATCTGTTCATATACTTTCTCAACCTACTGAAACACAAAGAGCTAATAACGCCTCCATTGAGGCTCGAACTTACAACCTTCCAAATGGAAGTCCAACCCGGGTACCATTAGACCACATAGTCCTGGTAAGCAATTTCATTCAATTATTCTAATTTACAGGTTTTGTAGGTTACTAACAGGTCACCCAAACAATTTAAAATATTTTTTAAAAAAATTATTATTTAAAAATAATAAATTAAAAAAAAAAAAAAAAACTCGTCTCTGCCGGAGACGAAGAGTTTCTTCGTCCATGGCCGGAGACAAGAAACTCGTCTCCGACGGAGACGGTTAATGTTTTTTTTTTTTTTTTTTTTTTTTTTTTAATTTTAATTTATTATTTTTAAATAATAATTTTTTTAAAAATATTTTAAATTATTTGGGTGACCTGTTAGTAACCTACAAAACCTGTAAATTAGAATAATTGAATGAAATTGCTTAGTTTAGTGGCCTAATTGTTGTTTTTTTTAGTTCAGTGGCCTAATTGTATTATTGTGTGCAGTACGATGGCCTATTTGACCCTTATTCCTATTTTAATTTAATAAGAGTAAAATAGAGTACTAATTATGCCAATTTTGGTTGGGATGGGGTTCGAACCTAAGACATTTCTTATTAAAATCAATGAGTAAGTTAACGGTGAACTAACACAAATCAACGGAAAAGATAATATTTAACGGAAAAGTTAACAGATAATCATATTCATTAAGGATAAATTAGGAAATCTTGAGGAAAATTTAAAATCTGATCAATCTGAGTCATTCATTTGATTAAAAAATTTGACCGCCATTTTTTCTACCCATTATAGGCCTCTCTTTTGGGCTCTTATTAGTATAGTAGATTATTATTATTATTATTATTATTGTTGTTGTTGTTGTTGTTGTTGTTGTTGTTGTTGTTGTTGTTGTTATTATTATTATTATTATTATTATTATTATTATTATTATATTCTCAAAATTATTATTATTATTATTAGATGAAGGAGATTCGCAACAATATTATTACTTCATTATGAGATGCTAGATCATGATTATGCTAATAGTTTTATTTCAATATGTTAAATTTTTAAGACAAAATGTTAAATTTTAATATGTAAACAAACTAATTTAAATTTTATGAAGATGTCCTTTTTTATATTTTTACATTTATCAGCTTATCAAAAAATTAATTTTACCACCACTTTCAAGCATAACAGCTAACTTAATAGCTCTTCAGTTTTTAATTCCTAACTTATAATTTTTCAGTTTTCAGCTATCTTTTCAGTTAAGTTTGTCTAACATAGCCTTATTTGTTTATGAAAATTTAGAAATTTTTATTGAAATAATTTTAATTTTTGGGTACACTTGAAAGTGACAGAAGCTTAACGAACTAAAAAGTGAAACTAAGTAATTGGCCCAGATATTCTTGAGATTCTCTACTAGATGTAATACTGGAAAATCACAATCTCGAGGAAAAAGAAATTAAAATTGGATTTGATCCCAAACATTAATAATTTCAAGGAGGCATCCCGCACTGTATATGTAAGGTCTGAAAAATGAAATGAATTCCAATCAGATAATATTCATGATCATGTCAGTTCATCAATTGGATATATATTTGGATGAACAACTACTTTATTTTTATATAATTAAGCAACAACACTTTAAATTTCAAATAAATTTTTATAATTACATATGATTTTTATACCCGTACAACTATATATACTATTTGAGTTGTGTCAGTACAAGTGCTAATAATACATTGCACAACAAATATAAACCTAATTTAGAAATTTAGAAATATAATGAACAATTGAACATGCATGTCCATTTTTCAAAAAAAAAAAAAAAAAAAAAAAAAAACAGGGCCGGCCTTGGCCATGTGCAGCTAAGAGGACTCCAGAAGGTCCTTGGCCAATTTTAAAAAACATATTATATACTTTCTATATAATTCATTATTTTTATAATTAATAATTATGTTTCTAAAATTCATATATTGATTTTAATTGCAATTGAAAATAAAATTTTAGATAAAAATTGACATCGAAATTTTGTATCTAAATATAATACACACAAAGAATGTCATTATTCAGTTAAATTTTAAAATATAATTTTTCTTTATTGAAACTTTATGCATTATATTTTGAAAAAAAAAAAAAAAAAAAAAAGCTTTTATTACATTTTTATTTTATATTCGCCGTACTTATATAAGAATTAAAAAGAATGTCTAAATTAAACTATTCAACTGGACAGGACCCTTAATTCTAGCAAACGACCTATCTAGCTACTTAAAATAAAAATGAGACGGAACAAAAACATATAGTGTAGCGCGTAGGTAAAAAAAAATACTAACTTTTATGAGACAATTCATAGTTATTGATTCTGTTTGGTAACATAGTTAGCTTATTTGTCAATTTTGACTTATTTAACTACTATTAGTTGTTTGACTTGATTAAAAAGTCAATATAAATGTCTGTTTAATTAATTTTTTTGTAATAACTTATTGCTTCAAAACGCTAAGATTCAAAAAGCTGCTCAAAGCAACTTTTTTGAACAATTTGTCAATTTTTTGAGAAGGTCATTTTGCATGTAATCATATGTCGGCTAACTGCTAATTTATCAAATATTTTTCTACAATCCGTTAATGCTATCAATTAATCAAATTAAACTCATTAACATAATTAGCTAATAGCTATTTACCAAACACTACCCCAAATATCTTCTTGTTGAAAACTCTTTTATAAAATATACTTTAACATCTACTATGACTTTATACATGCAGCATGCACTAATATCTTCAACTTCTTGATATTTTGTTAGAGTTACAAAGAAAAAAGAATACAACATAACAATAAAGAACAACTACAATTTCCCTCTTTCTAATATATAGGGATTATTTTTTTTTGGTAAATTAAATTAACTTCACTAATTAATAACTACCTACCAGGCCTTTAAAGGGTAATTGTGTATGGTATCATTCCAAGGATTATCAATTTCTTGATTTGAATCTTGAAGCCATTTCCAAACAAGACTTCCAACCTTAAACCCTGTCCCGAAAGCTATCATCCACATTTTATCTCCTTTCTTAACTCTCTGTTTGGCTTCAAAATAAGCCAGCTCGTAGAATACCAGGCTACTAGACGTGTTACCGAACCGGTTTAAAGTCATCCGAGCCGGTTCGGTCACCTCGTCGCTGAGCCGGAGCACTCTCCCCACTTGCTCGATCACCGCCTTCCCGCCCGTGTGAATGCACATGTGCTGAAACGCCGCCGTGAAGTCCGGCGGCGGCGGCGGCTTCGATTTCCCGCCGGACAGCGCGGATTTCGCGGCGGAGACGAGGTAGCTCGCGAGCTGGCTCGGCGGGAGGACTCTCGGCGCGAGGAGCGTGATGTGGCGGCGGAGGTTGATTCCGGCGACTCTGATGAGGTCTTTGGTGAGGGAGACGCCGGTGATGCCCTTGTCGTCCTCCTCCTGGAACGCGGCTCGGTACGCGGCGTCGTCGGCGCCGTGGTGTGTCCGGAGAGATTCCACGAGCTCCATCTTGGCGCCGCGCCGCCGGGTCGGGTCGTTCGTGATTATCGCGGCGGCGCACCCGACCCGGAAGATGCAATTGGTGACCATCATGGACCGATTAGCCCCCGGGTACCAGTTCAAGGTGATGCTCTCGGTGATGACGACGAGGGCATTTTGGACTTTTCCCCTACCACCACCGCGCAAAATCCTCGCCGCGAGATCGACGGAAATGACGCCGGAGCTGCACCCCATTCCGCTCAAATTATACGTTTTCACGTCCGGTCTAAGGCCATAACGGTTCACGATGAAGGACGAGAGCGACGGAGCCGGCGAGAAGCTTCCGCACGTGACAATAACAACATCTATACTCCGAGGATCAATTAGGGTTTTAGCCAAAACGCTATCAATGGAGGAGAAGATCCCCTCTTCAGCTTCTTCCACGGCGGATTTCAGCGTCGGAGTACAACCGCTCTCAAATATAAACGGCGGCCCGTAGGTCTCGTCCCCTAATCCGGACTTAGCGTAAATATTACGCATGAAATTGAACGTTTCATCGGAGAAGTGTTCGTCGCGGCGGACGAACGACTCCGCCACCTGATAAGAACATTTCCGGTGGGGCGGCGGCTTGTAACAGGCGTAATTTAGCAGGAAGACGGGGTAGGGGCGGGAGCGAAGGCGGTGGAAGAAGTAGACGAGGGCGCAAACGGCGCAGGATAGACAATGAGGGAGGCTGAGGACGGCGGCGTAGGATAAGGCGGCGTGGAGGAGGAAGGTGAAACATAATAAGGCTAAGAAGGATATCTGGAGGGTTTTGATTATCGGCATCGTATTTTTAGTTGGTTGGAGAGAATTTTCAAATAATGGGCGCTCTTTATAAGTTTGTATTGATTGTTGTGGGAAATGTGGGAAACATAGCGTTAACAAATCCGGTATTTATAGAAAGGATTGTGCAATAAAAAAATTGAAAATAATAGCTCTAGTGTTTGATTCATCATCCTTGTACTTCTCCCAAATACGGCAATTCAGCAGATAAGATCCAATATCGATGCACACAAACAATTTATCTATTCTAACTCAATGGCTTAACAGATAGGGTCAGATGTCAGTATGCACTTTTTCCAAACATAGTAACTCAATGGCTCAGTAAACAATGCTAAATATCGGTTCACACAAAGAATTTGTCCACGGTGACTCAGTGGCTCAACATATAGGGCCAAATGTCGTGTGCACTTCTCCCAAACACAACAACTCAGCAGATAGAGCCAAATGTCGGTACATACAAATAATTTGTTCACCGTAACTCAGTGGCTCAACAGACAAAGATGTCGGTGCGCACTTCTCCCAAACACAACAACTCAGCAGATAGGGCCAAATGTCGGTACACACAAAGAATTTGTTCACCGTAACTCAGTGGCTCAACAAATATGATCAAATGCCAGTGCGCACTTCTCCCAAACATGGTAATTTAACTCAGTGGCTCAGCAGACAAGGTCAAATATCGGTGCACACAAAGGATCTGTCCACGGTAACTTAATGGCACAACCGACAAGGTCAAATGTCAATACGCACAAAGAATTTGTCCATTTTGGACATAATTTCAAAACTATGCTGTTGAATTTTAAAATTTGATCTCTTTTTTCAAATATTGCCTACTAAACCACTGAATTAAATTGATGGGGCATTTGATTCATCATCCTCAAATATTTTGGTTGTTGATATTTGATAATAAATTTAGGATAGATGTTGTTGGGATATGCATTTAATGCGGAGAATTGGAGTTGCAGTGACGAATTGCAAGTTGCCAATTTGGTCGCTCGAATAATAACTAGAAAATATTGTGGGCGCCGGATTGGGAGTTACATAATTTGTAAGATTAACGAATTGGAGGAATGATGGATCACGAAGGATGTTGAATCTTCATCTCGCAGTTTTCGTTGAATAATACTTACGTTAGTTTGTCGCCATTTATTAACCTACCTATAATAATATACTAACAACTTCTTCCAACAAATTGTTATCAAATAGAGCCTGATTTCTTTTATGTAAAATCTCGAATAATCTTGTAATAAATAGAATATAATGGGATGTTTAGTAAATAGTTGTTAACTGATTGAGTTAGTGGATTTGACTAGTTGATAATATTAGTTGATTGTAGAAAATTGTTTGGTAAATTAGCTGTTAGTTGATAGCTGATTACATGCAAATGACTTTTTTAAAAAGATGATCGAAAAAGTTATTTTGAACAGCTTTTTGAATTTTAACATTTTAGAATAATAAGTCGTTACAAAAATCTAATTAATCAAACACTCCTATTGATTACTAACTAAGTCAAACAGCTAATAGTGGTCAAACAAGACAAAATTGACTGATAAGCTAACGGTTAAATAAGTCAAAATTGATTGATAAGGTAACAGTCAAATATGTCAAAATTGACTGATAAGCTAATTATATTACTAAATAGGACTATATATATATGTTAAAAGAACTTTTTTTGTCACATGAAATTTGATAATTATATTTGAGCACAATAATTGTTGATTTTTTTAAACATTGTGATTTTTATTTTTTTTTGTGGCGAAAAAAATTCGTAATAATTTGTTATTATTTATCACTATGTATTATCAGATGTTATGGTGGCAATTGCCAATTGGCAAATACAGCATGCAATGCACATTTAGTCCGTCTTGATAATGCAAAATATAGTATACAACTTAGCACAAATATAATGTTAGTGTGTTAGCATGCATGGTAAATACAATATATGCATGCAATGGACTCATAAATGTGAACATAAAATGACAAATCCGGGAGTTACTTTGAATGTGTGGTGTAAGCTGTAGAATATAGAGTAATTAAAAATGGAGTTAATTACCGAAATGATCCGTTGATTATAGTGAAATTATCAATTTAATATTTTGACTATTTTTTTTTTGTCTAATTAAGTTGTTAGCTTTGAAAATCTTAACCAATTTGGTCCTCTGTTCGGCCAACATCAGAAATCTGTTTGATCTGAGGGTGTTGTTGAAATTTCACATCACAAGCATCTATCATTTCCTCTCTTATTAAACCGAAAAGTTAATTATCAAAATGATCCCTTGACTATAGTGAAATTATCAATTTGATCTCAAATAATTACCAAAATAATCACTTAATTATAGCTAAATTATCAATTTGGTCCAGAATTAAACAGACGTTTGACGGCTAAACAAACGGAGGACCAAATTGATTAGAATTTTCAAAATTGAAGACTTAATTAGACAAATAAAAAATAATTAAAGACCAAATTGATAATTTCGCTATCGTTAAGGGACTATTTTCAATAATTAACTCTTAAAAATATATTTTTTTTAAGACGAGGAGGTAAACCTGTAGTTATTATCCATACTTGAGTATATACTGAGTAAATTTTACTTTTATTTAATAACCTATTCAACTTACAAACCAAAATATGATATTGGCAAAAATTGAATTCATAATTATTTAAATATATAATATTTTAATCATGTTCCATCTAGTTAAATGACATGAGTTAGAAATGAGATTTTTTTAGGTATGGACTGCATGCAATGAGACTTTTAAAGGATGCAGAACAATATATTTGGTCTATCTATTCTTGGAGAGAGTGCATTATTAATGTGCTTCTCTGATATTTCTTCACTCCAATAATTTGTAAATTTGGTTAAACTTAATAAATAATAACATTATATATATGTAAATTCTGCGTTTGAGTGGCCAGTAAAAATGTTCTCTTTTAAAACGCAAATATGACAAGTTATATACTATGGACTTGATGAGTTAGAGTAAGGGTTATAAATTTATTGTGTTTGAAAGTGAATCTCAAGTTTTCAGTGAATAGTGATCATTAAAGTTTGACATAAAGTCTTATTATAACTTATTATTTATTACATGCAGTATTACAAAAATCCCGTCTAGGCACCGATTAATTGGCGCCTAGGCGCTAGGCGCTGATTGGTCGCCTAGCGTATCACCATAATCGGTGCTGGTTGGTCGCCTAGCGTATCACCATAATCGGTGATCTAGGCGGCCTACTAGGCTGCCTAAGCGCCACCTAAGCTGCCTAGACGCTGATTATGTAGGCCTCCTAGGCACCAACTAGGCAGTCTAGTCGGCCGATAACTATTGTTTCCTTCTTTTTAAATAGGTTATTTCACTTAAAACAACATTGTTTTGAGCGAAATAACCCTAAACTATTCAAACTCTAGATGTTTTTTAGGTTAATATTTAATATTTTAGTATTAACTATTAAAATATTAAATAGTTTATAATTATCAAGTCTTAAAAAATTTTAAAAATTTTAAAAATAAAAATATAATAAAAAAATATATGTGCCGATTAATCGCCGTCTAGGCGCTCTTGAACGTCCGATGAACGCCTAACAATTTTTTCAACCATGATTAGATGCCATATTAGCCTGTGAAGTATATAATAAAAAAGTTTAGCCAAAATAATTTACTTTTCGAATTTCAATTCAAGAATGGTAAACTACGGCATTGATTTTTAGACGTCGCATATGTTATGAACACGGAGAAATTTTCAAATTGGTTTGATCACTGAATGAACTATTACTTCTTTTTTTAAAAAGACATTTTAATTGTTTTTATTCTACTTAAAATTGACCATATTTGGTCTCAATTATTAAAAATGTATTATTTTTTAGTTTTGATGATTAATAGTGGTGCATTAATTTTTAATGGTCGCAAGATGTTGTGAAATTACATAAGTCCATATAGTGTACGTAGCAATATCGTTAACAACACGTTTGGTTTTAAGAATAAATTTTAAGAGAATAAGATTCACATTTTATCAAAAAAATTAGTATAATAGAAATTCAATTCTATTGTTTGGTTTGTGTAAGGAATAGATTCAAGAAATGTGTTCTACTGTTTGGTTGAATTAAGAAATAAAAACACAATAAATATTCAAAAGACAATTATCCTCTAGACGGATATAATAATAATAACAACAACAATAATAATTATTATGAATATCACTCATGCATGATCATGGATGTCAATCTTAGCTCGAAATTGATGGACTGACCCGATAAGACAAAAAGAAAAAGAAAAAAAAAAGGCTAGGAATGAAATTTTAGTCTGATAAAAATCAGCATGATAAGCTCAAAATCGATAAATTCGATTGTCCAAACGGGCTAGCCAAAAATTTAATGGGCTAGCTCGATAGTTCGAGTCACTTAAAATTATTCTTTGTTTTTTATAAGTGATGTGGAACAAAATATACATGGAGTTTATATTTAAGCTCATTAGTATTTTTTTTAATTCAATTTGTATATAAAATTTTAATGCATATATTAATACATTTATTATGGAGTACAAAATAAAATACTTTTATGAAAATAGATGAAGAATACGAAAATTATTATAATTATTATATTATAGTATAAATATATTAATTATCTTTAGTTGAAATTTAGAATTAAGGTATTGGCCCTGTTTGGTAAAAAATTAGCCGGCTTATAGGTCAATTTTGGCTTATTTGACCACTATTAATTGTTTGATTTAGTTAAAATATCAATATAAATGTTTGGTTAATTAACTTTTTGCAACTCCAAAAGGCTAAAATTCAAAAAGCTACTCCAAGCAACTTTTTCAATTAGCTTTTTGAAAAAAGAAATTATACCAAACAACTATCAGCTAACAGCTAATTTACCAAACACTTTTCTACAATCAGCTAATGTTATCAACTGTGAGTATTAATATTATTAATTGTATTTATAATTGTATGACCTATGTTTAGTTTTCTATGGTTAGAATAAGTCTACTGTCTGTATCCTATTAGATAGGAGTAGTTAGAAGTAGACTGAGATATACTCTCCTGTAATTCTATCGTTTGTTATTGAATTGATTTCC